TGATTATTCACATACCGAATCGAATCGTTTCAATTTGATGATCTCGAGCGATACGTCATGAATTTTCTCGCATACATTCATCGACGGGTCCGCTCGTGATTCTTGAATATGTGTGCTTTGAATATATTGGATTGCATATCTGCATATATGAAAAAGTTAAGAGAGATCTTGCTAATAAAATTAATTATCCTATTATTAGTATCTTTAGTAGGATATCAGTTTTTTACAAAGCATTTTTATTTCTTAATTAATTAAATATTATATTATATTTAAGTATTTCGACAAGCAATCCTATTCCATGTGGAAGATCTTAAATTTGTTATATATTGTATACACACACACACACACACGCACATAATAAATAAAGAATATAATTCAATGTGTGAGTCGGAAAGCAAAGATATGAAGGTGTCATTACATATTCTATTGCTACAATCAGGCATTCGGGACGATTTTCATCTCCTTCGCTATCATCATCATCTTTATTGCCTCTTTAACGCATTTGTAACAATTTGTTGACGAATAATTCGCTCTCTACGATAACTCGTGGCGCGCGCTAAGGTTCGCGATAAATTCAACCTCCCTGTAACAAATCACCCTCAAATATTTTAAAGTCGAAAACGCGCGCTCGTGTTTCGGACCAAACCGACCGACTCATTCTTGCGCAAATAGAGCAACTACGCGCCGCATCCCTCAGACGCTGCCACGAGTCTCTCCACACGGGTTACACGGATTTTCGTCGGACCTTTCCTCTCCGTAGTCGCGCTCGCTATTTCAGCTCGTTAGGATAACGAGGATCTAATGTCGCGTTCGCGGCCTGGCCAATTACGCGGTTACGGACCGAGGCACGCATCTTTCGGCGCATCCGCGGCTGCGATACAAGGGCAGGCTCAAGAGAGGGCTTATTAGCAGGAATTTATTGTATATTTCGCCGGGATTTTTCTATTTTCGGCATTTCTCCTGATTAGTTCGAGTGTCGTTACGCTTGACGCGGATGTCTAATGTCGCTTCCGTTCCAAACGATTTAATGTCGATCATCAAGAATCGACTACCAAGCTCGGCTTTCATCAAATTTGTATTTTTGACGTTAAAACATTTAGCACATTAAAAATTGATAGTATACAGAGTGCTAAATTTCAAACGTAACAGATCGAATATCTCGATAACTAAATGAAATATCGAAGTCCGGTTCTTTTTGACGCGTCCATCCAAAGTCAAATTCTTTTTATCAAAATTTGTCCGCTTCGAAACAATACAACCTAAAAAAAAATCGGATCTCGATATTTCATTTAGTTATCGAGATATTCGGCCTATTACGTTTGAAATTTAACACCCTGTATATAGAAACTTTTTGATTCTTAATTTAGAAAATAATAGCACGCGTTTAAATATTGTATATATATTTGATATTTCAAACTTAAATTTTAAATATATTTTTTTATTAAGAACACTCTTTATTTTGTAATCAAGCTATATACAATACAAATAAATCTAAATTTTAGAAACAAAGAATCGACTTACATTATATATTTTAGATGTCAAAAACGTTACAAATTTTATTATAAAGAATTATTTAAATTATCGGATATTTTTTTCTGACGCGTTTTCGATCGCAATTAAATCGCAAGTTATTTCGCGATTTATCCCTCATGATCGCGTGTATTTATCGCGCGGCGAGCTAATAGTGTTCGAACTTCTTGCGGCATCTCGTGCGCGATCCTTTACGAGCCGCAAGCCGCGCGAAGAAGAGCTCGGGCTCTTACTCTCGCGAAGTGATCTATTGGTGAACCATCTGGCCGCGCGTCGTCGTAGGGACGACGCATTTACGGGCAGCTAAGTGGCCTTTACCCGACTTTGGTTCCCGAAAGCGTGACAATAAATTTCGGTTCGCCGTATGCCCCGCGCCATCCGCCTTTAATTTGACGGGCCGGAACCTCGTTACACTCGTTAGTGACAAACGGAGAGGAACGAAAACGCGGCGGCGAAAAGCGCGGCCGATCACCGCAATAAGCGGCAATCTTTTTTCAAAATACCGAGAAAAAGCTCTAAGACGGAGAGAGAACGATAGTTTTCAGTCGTGCATCGCGAGGATCAACATCGTCTTCTGTTCAGTTTGTGATAATTATTGCTTGTATATAGATATACAGACTAGCCCACCAAAAACGAAACAGGCGTATTTTTTCGTATTTAAAATTTTTAGGGTGAAATTAACCCCTCTTTTGGGGTCGAAGTTAAGTGAACGGAAATAGCCAATTAACATGTCCCCCTTGCAAATAAAATTGACTTGTCCGAGCGTTTTTCGAACAAATGAGGTTAAATGCTAAAAGCATGCCTGTTTCGTTTTCGGTGGGCCACCCTGTATATACAACACACATGTGTCGAAAAAAATTATACTATTAGTACCAATAAAAAAAAAAAAAAAATTATTAATTATATCTCCGTGAACGTGAATTACAGAAAAAAAAATCGCCTATTTTTTTATATTTTTTATGCTTTACAAAATATCTGCATCGAAATCAAAAATTGAACGCTACCGTAGCAATCGAGGGCTAACGATCTGGCATCGTGAGCTCCACACGTATACTTCTGAGCGTGCAGTTAACGTTTCGGGTAATACCGAAAACTAGTCCGTCGCGCGACGCGAAATTCACGCGAAACTCGGCTTTGCCGCAGCTTGCTTGCTGATATTGTAATAAACTGTGCGCGCGAGAGCGAGGCCACACCGCAGCCATTAATTCACGTGGATCGCAAGGTGGCGGTCCGCGTAAGGGGCATAAGAAGGCGAAATTTAGTGAGCCACTGGCGGGAACGTACAAACCTCTAATGGCCATTCCGTTGACTATGGTTCTCGACCACAGCAACGGCGAGAACCCCCTCCCCCTCCCCCCCCCCACCGCTTGCCGGGTCCTCTCGACAGGCACGGTACCTCACCTAACCGTGTTGTCCCTTCTAACTCGTTCTCTCCGCCCTCTCTTTCTCACTTCTTACACATCAGCCCTCTCCCGCATCAACCCTCTTTGTCTCGCCCGCGTATGCAACGGCGTTCCAGCAATTACGCATCGCCACAGTTAAATACAATGGCCAGGACAACGACTCTGTAATTTATCCCTGGTTTGGGCCACCATGCGTTTGTTTCCAACGACGGTGGAGGTCGTCGCGTCGCTCGCCCTTTCGCGCGCGTTCCGCGATCCCGCATCCCACGGTGTGTTTGCCACGTTTAAATTAATGATAAGTAATAATGTCAGTGGCACATCGTTAGCTGGCGATAAAATATTGAGTCGAGCGATTATCAACGAATTATACAAAAAATACCCAATTCGGAAAATTTATAGGCCTTGTCCTGTTTGAAGAGTGATATAAACGTTCGATAACACGCGAAGAATTATTACTTAACGATTCGATTAATTTACACTTGTAAGCTAAATTTATATGTATACTGCTATAATTATCAAAAATGTGCATCATCGCGCTAATGAGGACACTGATTCCGTGAATTAATTAATCATGAATACACGCATGAATCTCTAATGACAGAGGCTGTCCCCCTTAGTATCCACCTTCGCTTCTTTGCTATTCAAATTTATGATAATTAATAATATATTATACAATACATACAGACACAGTTCGTTAACATAAAGACGATTACAGATTCAAAGCTTACATCGATAGAAGCCAAACAACGCGAACTTATAAATCCTATAAACTCGTCTCGCGTCGGGTACTTGTAATTAATTGACGTACAAATCATTAAGAAATGACAGTTGACGAATAAATGATCGATATGTAAAATATTACGATCGTGGACTTCGTACATTTAGATCACGCGATATTTGCGCTTAATTCTTGATATATCGGAATTAAGTAACACACGTGAGTGCGATATCTTTCCGCATTTTTGACGACCGTAATCGTTCCTCGCCGCGCGACCGCCGAGATAGCCTTGCTATATACGATGCTGGGAAAAAAAATGCGCTCGTAAATCCGATCGTGCTCGTATCAGGCATACGTGTACACGCCATATCGCCAAACAGGTGCGCGCCTATATCGTTTATCTCGCATCGATCGCCATATTATGGTCCGCGTGTGAACACGCTCGAACTATTGGCGTACCTTCATCCACGATCGCATTCTATTTAAGGATACCTAACAATAAGTCGAAATTTGCGAGATTCTCAAGCAAGTTAAATCAACAGAAAGCATATATTTTCTCTAAATAAAAAAATTCCGCGTCGGCGATTAATTATGTATGTAATGGATCTTGTCAATGAATTGTAAGCATGTGATTTTTTTTTTAATTTTGTATAAAAATTAATGATTTTTTTAGTCTGGCGTAAAAAGAAATGCACTTGCGTGATATTTGGATATCTTGTAAATCTGAACAGCGCATGAATCTCAACATCCTCAAAAAGAGCAAAATCAATCTCAGTGACAGGGATTATGTATCACATTAGTTGCCAGACATCCCACTCGAGTATCTCGGCGCTATTGCGTTCACTGGCCGCGCTCGAGATACCGGGCGGCTCGTTAGTTCGGGATCAATTAGCGCGTCGCGACCAGAAACGAGAGAACTTTGAGAGTTTTCCCGATGAAATAAAACGCCTTTCCAAAAACGCGACGTTGTCGCGCGCGTAAAGAGCATCGGAAATGCCAGTACGACGTTAATTAACGATGCTAATTAACACGAGGATAATTTTAGTCGAGTGCTTATACCGCAGCGTCCTAAGCATTTCTCGGCAATATAATTGCTAAAATAGTAATCAAGCTATAACATATTGTTATTTCATTTTTATTTATTCTTATTTTTATTTTACCTTTACATAAGCGAAGCAAGATTGCTTGCCATTTTCATTAGTTCATCTTCATTATTTGATTTTTTTATAGAAGTATTATTTTCCAACTTTGTATGTATATTTTTCATCGTTATTGCGCGAGATACTTCATATTAATATTGATTAGTAATAAATTATTTTGGGAAATAAAATGGTTAAGAGGAGAAAATGCATATTAAAGATTTCTTTTATTTCGCGATTTAATCGGAGACGAAACGTAAGCGGATTACATAGAATATTACAATCATTTATTGCGGAAATATACGTTGTACGTTATATTTTCCATGTCTATATACGCGTGTATAACATATGAATCTAAGTTTGTTTATGAGAATTGAGGAATATATGCATAATATATATACAATGTGAGATCGTTCCACGTTCATATAATATAGTAACCATGTTTTAACTAATCTATATTCGGTATTTTACATATACACAAGAGTACAAGCTATTTACACATTATGTACAATGAAATAAATAATTTATATTTTTGATATATAAGACTTATATATATAGACATATACTAATTAAATCTGACTCTTTCTTAAAAACTAATTCTAAATATATATATACATCCTATAAGCGTGTAAGTCTTATTGTTAATTCACGGCATACTAGATACATTTTAGATTTAAAGCCCTTATACAATATATGCTAAACGAATGACTCTTCATACAACTAAAGCAACTTTTTCGATTTGAATCGTGTTCAAAGATACAAGATATTGGCAATAAATAATAGATGAAAGTTCATGAGATCGCAAAACTTTGCATAAGAATAAAATATTAGTAGTAATTACATAAGGACACACTGATATTTAAATTATTAATTCATTTCCATAAAATCTTGTCAGTGTTTTAATTCTGCAAATACTTACTCACTGTATTTAACCATAAAACTGAATAATTTTTTATTATTTCCTCTCATATTTTATATATAATTATCGTTATAAAAAATTTATTTAATTTCATCCTTTCCATTCTTTTAGCAATATATTCTGCATATATTTACATTTAAGTGCAAAAGATAAAATCAAATAATTTTCTATTATTTTTCTCTCGTGTATAAATTATTAATATAGTATATAAATTTATTCGCTAATTTTTATGCAAAATTCTGCCTTATCGGCATTCGTCAAGATATATATAGATGGCAACATACGAGGGCAATTCAATAAATAAGGTAACGAGACATGTTATATGCGTACAGTTGCTAATGTTACCTTATTCATTGAATTATCCTAGTACACCGATTTACTGTTCATATTTTTTTACTTTTTACCTTATTTTTGGATTGCACTTTTCATAACAATTTTATTGTTGCGTTTCATTTTCAGTCTTCATTCAATCACCGTTGATTATTATATCCGTAATTTTTTATAAATATTTTAATGTCTTTCTTTATCGATAACACTCAACGCTGACGATGGTTCCTAAGAGACGTGGCTATAGCAACACATTATTCCAATCTTTAACTCCTCGTTTCATCGTTTCCATTTAAATTTACGCGAGTCTTAACAATTTCTCTCGGTTACGATCTCTTCGTCGTCGTCGTCCACCGGCACAGTAGAATGATTGTAAAGGCCTTGCGCCATTAGTTGAAGAGCCAATGGATTTTTCTGTCCGCTCGCCTTCTTTTGCTTCGCTCGTTTGTTCTGGAACCAGATCTTGATCTGGGCCTCATTTAGGTTCAGCTCCCGCGAGAGCTCCTGCCTTCTCCTTTCTGTCAGATATCGATTCTCCAAGAATTCTCTTTTCAACCTGGACAGTTGTTCGGCGCTGAAGGCCGTCCTGGGTCTCTTCTCTTCCGGCAAACTGTTCTTACTGGTCTGCGGACGTTTCACTCGCCTTGTTCGCGGTCCTGAAACGACAAAGGAACTTCGCATTAATCTTCAGACTTTTGTGATTTAAATCGGAGACAACGTGGCTAAGGGAGGGGGACATTATGTCGCGGCGGAAAGTGGGCGTTCTCATCAATTTGTCCACACATACATATACACACACACATACCAATGTGATTCAGCGTTTTTGCGACGAGAACGCGAACGAACGAGCGAGCCCGTTCGCACAGTAAGAAGGATACTCGGAGATAACTATATCTGAGCAACGGCTTTGGAATTTAACGAAGGCGGAAATGGTTCGGCTAATCGCGTAGGAACGTCATATATAAAATTATACTTCCTATGCGAATTGCGAATCTTACGTGATCTATGCGTGTCTGATCTTAATCTGTATCTTTAATATATTGTACAACGCGATAAAGTTGCATTATGTAAATTGTAAATGAACGCGATGGATATTATTATCGAAAACTCATACAGATCGGATCATGCATGCTTTCTTATTTTTACGTTAATGATTGAAACTCTGTGAAGTACGCTTTTAAGCGCGATAATGAATTGTATTTCGATTATCTTCCATTGCCGCCTCGTAACCAAAGTAACGTTTATAACGGCAAGTTTTTGAGCATTACACGCTTTTGATTTTTGTTTAATTATTTAGATAAGGCAATCATGTTTGAAGCTGAATACATCCGCATACTTTTGCGCAGCTATTGTCAATGGTTTCTTTATTTTTGAAGAGAAACCATTAAGCGCGAACGCTTGCAGTTGTATGTAGTTTAAATTATATCTCTATACAATGTGTGCTGTAATTATTATCGACAGTATAGAATAAAGTATAGATATAATTATTTGCATATTATTATTGTTAAAAGAAATTACTACTCTATTTCCTTAAGATCTTTTTGTCGTTAATATTACTAATGTTTTTGTCATCTTAAATACACTAACTTAAAAAACATTAACTTCAACACAATATAAAAACTGCAAACTTGCTAGTAAAAATATGAAGTTTAAAGGAATAAAGATATAAATTAAAAAATTGTTATATCTTCATTCTTATTGATTTGCATGGAGATAAGACATCTTACAAACGGTACGAAATATTACATAAATTTACAATCGAGGGTTAACGTTCGGCGATGAAGAGACTCACGGAAGCTAAATGAGTGATTCTCAGCAATTAGCAACGCGATTATCGGATCGAAACTCGCGAACCACCCCGACGTGCAGCAGAAGAACTAATGAATGTTCACCTGAGAGAGAAAGAGGGAGAGAGACAGAGAGATAAAGAAACGGAAACCGAAGGAACGCCGAAGAAAGAAGAAGAATAGCAGCATCGTATGTGGGACACTGATTGCGGAGGGTAGTTTCGCGAATGTAGGTTCTACACAATTAATTCCTGCGAACGAACGCAGATGACACCGGGCCGTTGACCTCGTCTATCTAAGTCGCGGCTATTAGATATAACTTATGCAGCTCGTGATCCTTTCGAGAGATCTCCTGTGCAAAATTAATAACTTATTGCGGTAATATCGAGCGACAAAACGTACATTAAGTCCACATGTCGATCGTGCGTTGTATAATTTATTTACAGAATAATTGTCTAATGACAACGGGTAATTAGACATTCGAGGTTATTCGTCCACGCGAGTTGAACGCTATTGATGCAGAAAGAGAAAGAGAGAGAAAGAGAACGATCAATCATTTACATAAGTTTATCAAGTTTACGAATCGCGATTTGTACGTCGCATTTCGTTCCGTGTATTCTTATCATTAGGGGTCGTGTTTTCTCTGCGTCATAAACATTCGTGCGCCTTGAAGCTATTTTGTTCCTGTTTGTCGGAACGAATAGAGTCGCTAAGTCGAGAAAGTATGATTCGTTCGCGAAAGGACTGCGATTATATATGTAAAAAAACAGCGCTTACGTTAAGCCCTTTAATCGCGCGCAAAGAAAGAGGGGGGGGGTGACTTTTTCGTTCAATTCGTGACTTTCAAATACAAAGCTTGGTGATAAGCACGTACGAAAACGACATTTTGCTCGAAAGGATTTTACTTATCTTTATGCCGTATAATTTTTCAAATGCCTTGATAGAAATTTTAATTAGCGGTCGATGATTTTGTGACTACACAGAGCGGCATAAGTGAATAAAACATCTTGATAGACGTTTCCGACATTGTGACCACGCAAGTTCTTCTTGCATGTAGTTAAACGTACCAGTCACGTACTATGCTCACGAAAAATCCGATAAATTTCTAACCTGTTTGCTTTTTAGCGCACATTGTTAGACCGATGCAGCAGAAAGCACGAAACTGATATCCGCATGAGATGACATGTTACAAAAAAAATCGAGAAATAAAATCAAGAGCGATACGATCATCTAATTAATCTATCTGTATCAAATATTCACATAATTATTATTACACGTAAAATTAAATTCTTATAAAATACATTTTTCAATGTATAAAAAAAAATTAAAAAAGATTTATATCTGTTAAACTTACCAGATGATGGTCGGTCCGAATATCTGGTGCAATATACCCATGCCGGCCATAGACTTTGACTGTTAGAGCTGTTTTGCTGACTCGTCAATGTGTTACCGCCGGTGTTCTCGCCGTTCAAAGAATCGCCGCTGATCGTGGACGATGTGGAACACAAGGACGGCGGGCCAGTGACCGAGCTGCTGGTGACCGAGCTTCTGCTGGACGCGAGGCTTTCGAGACTGCCGCTTCTGCTGAGCCCATTGCCATGCCTCTGCAAAGGTGACGTGATCCCGCAAAGGGGCGAGAAGGCGTCCTTCTCCCGATGGCCCGAATAATTCGTCAACTGAGGCGATTGCGGGGACGAGAGGCGCGTGGATGACAGGCTGAGATCGCGTGGAAGCGGAAGCGGACTGTGTTGCGGATGCTGCGTGGGAATAGCGGCGGACACTGTGGATTCGTTCGGTACCTTCGTGTTGAGAATGGCCTCGCGACCGAAATCCGGCTTGAGAATGTTGACGACGCTGAAGGGCAACGATCTCTCGGTGTCCTGTTGGTGATCCGGTTGACGATCCTGACGCGGCACTACGTGGCTCTCCGATGACAGCACGTGATGGTGGTGGTTTACAACCCCCAATCGCAATCTGTACGCACTCTCCATAGCCACAAGAGCCATTTTTTCTCGTATTAGAGAGTCTTTACTCGATAAGATGAGACAGGAGATTGATAGTGACACTAGTCCCCGACTAGAGAATCGCCATATCGAGAAGAGAACACATGATTTCACTGTCCACTGTGCTCTCGCGTAAATTAAATCTTTATAGATGTCACATAGATGAATGCGAATTTTTGAGTCGCTTGCGACCTCAAAAGTTTATTCGTTCAACACCATTCACCAATATTGTCATTGTTCACGTGTCGCTATATTCATCACGAATCACTTACTTCGTGATTGCACGAAATCTTGTTATCCACTGCTCAATTAACTCTCTTCGAAACTTTGAATTTATTATAATCGCCTCGAACGTATCTTAATGTATCGCACGATAAAGGCATTGCATGAAATACTCTAGAAGTATTCATGCATCCAATATGGTAGTGGCGTGTTAATTATCGGCTCGCCTTCGGAGCCGGTCTGGAGACTCCTGCTATCGGCTTTTCCCGAGGGTTTCCGAGTACTCTGGCGAGTGCTGTGACGGGTCTGACTGGCTGTCCATCCGTCGCTCAGTGATGTCTAAACTAGGGGACCAGCGGTCCCTACTTACCGCCTGTCCCTCCTCGCCCCCGTCCCCTTCACTCCTCCTACGCCGCAGTCCGGAGTGCAGTGCACTAGACACTCTCGATTGTATCTCTATTAACTCTTCGGTCAAAGGCTCCGCCTACCTTACTGGTAAGGTGTACCATGCTCCCTTCTGCCTGTCGTCATCCCCACTGCCAGTGGTACAGATAGTAGGGGGCTATGTTCACGGAATTTCCTGGAAATCAATGTTACGCTTCTTCCACGATGAGATTCGTCTCTCTTTATTCTAGCACTTTGCAACGATCGGTCGATTAATCGATGAGACATTTAGCGCTTTTATCTCGAGAACCTTTATTTAATTTTTATAAGTATATGAAATGATTTGTAGTATTAACATTTGCAATATTTGATATTAAAAGACATCTTCAATTTTAATATACATAAAATTAAATTATTTACTATTAAATTAGCTCAAGGATATGTCAATATAAAAAAACAAATTATAAAAATCCCTAATCTGTAAATTAAAAAAAAAAATTAAAACAATATTTGAAATAAAATTAGAGTTATAAATTATATTTATATTAATTTCTTTTAATTTTGTACGAGAGCACAATTTTGACGAAGATTCACGGTCCATTTGATATTATACGCTGTATAAATATACGGATATCCGCGCCACTGTGCGTACAATAACGAGAATACTCACTTCTCTCCGCCCCATTTGAGTTCTCCCTCCATGTATCCAACTCCCAGGTCTCGCCCATGTTCTCGCCCCTTTTCCCACCACACCACGCCTAACTCCCCTCTATGTTCTACCCTCTACTCCATACTTTTGTCCCTCCCCCACCCTGGCAATGTTGTCGACCCGATCAGAGGCTGAAGCCGACTAATTCGTTTCTTCATGCCGAAGAGCGCTATCCCTTCATCCCTACCTCCCCTAGCCCTTCATCTCGATGCGACGTGGATTTTATCGTCGCGCGACGGAATCGCTTCATACAAAAATTTGCACGAACACCATCAACCATGACCCTCTTTTATTCTCCTCTTTTTTCTGGCCCCGACGGCTTTGCGACGGTTAACGAACAAATGTATTACCCACCCTATACGGCAGATGCTGTTCTTCTTTTTGCTTCTCTTCCAACATCCTTTTTCTCTCTCTTTCTCTCGCTCAATGTATTATCTATGTACATTGTATATCTAGTTTTCACCTCTATATCTTATTCAGCGTAACTTATTCCTAGATCGCTTAATCGTACTGACGTTTCCGAGATGATTAGAAAACGAGGGACGGCATGGTCGAGTCTTTTGTTTGCACCTTACGTGACTTTACATGACGCAGCTACCGTGTAATATATTTTCTGTAATCATTTCTACATCGTAAATCTCTGCACGCGCATCGCATTTGAATGTTTAACAATTCAAAAGATACTTCCAGAATATTTTATAAAGATGGTGTGTGAGATCTACTTGAAGTGTTCGCGTGGAACCTTTATTATTACGCCCCAGCGGTGACACAAGGTATATTTTATAATATCTGTGATTTCCAAGAGATGTAATAATATTTTTACAGATGTGATTTACCGAAAAACAGACTAGATCAAAATCAGTCTTTTTCAAGCAGCGCTTCTTATTCGCAACGCGCGATCATCACTTGGAACGGCGACGACGATATGCTCGCCAGTTAATCAACGGAACAAGATTACTCGGCCATTAACTCTTTAACGTCTAATCGTATGGGATGCTCTTCCTATGAAGGAAGCGTTATTCGGGCCTGACATGAAAGCAACGAGGCTACGCATTAGGAGCACGCGAGACGTATAAGGAGTCATCGTTAAAACGGTTGCAATTAAAGTCCGCGATGTAACGCGATGCAAAAGTCGCACGCGATAAAAGTCAGATGTTTCGCGCGTAATTGGCGGAGACACTCGACCAACCGTTCACGCCTAAGAAAACACGCTCTGTAGAAAACGAGATGAAAGGTGAATAATAGAAATGGAGTTTAATAGAAAAATGTATGCATAGTTGGAAAATCTGTGTTTTCTTGTTAAAAAATATATTTTGTTAAAATTTTTGTGTTAAATATTTAACACATTTATGTGTTAATTTAACATATTGCTGTTGTGTTAATTGAACTCAAGTGTTAAATTATTAAAACAACTTAAAAAATGTAAAAATAACACAATATGTACCTATTTTTAATTTTACACAATAGATATGTTCTGTATTATTAATGACAAGATTTATCTGTTAAAATTTACAGAAAAAAATGTTGATTTTATGCTACAATAGAAGTGACAGTGACTATAGACCGTTAATAACATTTTTCAAAGTTAAATTTATCATTAAAAATATATTAATTTTACACAAAATTTATTTCAAGATTACTTTGAGGTTTGCATTTATTTTGTGTTAAAATATTAACATAGTATTAGTGTTAGCATTTAACATATCCATATTATGTTAAATTAACACAAAAATTTGTGTGAAATTCGTTTGGAACATGTGATATCTGTTAAATTTAACACAAATTTTTCAACTGTGAGTGATTAATCCGAAACTTTGATTTCAATGAAACTTTACGTACAAGTGTCCAGAAAACATTGATAAACGAATTTAAAATTATATATTTGCTGCTACAAAAAAAAATACTAGAAAATATAGAAATTGCTTACGCTTGTTATTAAATTAAACGTAAAATGATATTTGAAAAATATTCTCGAACGATGTATACTAAAGTATACTGTGTACTTTAGTACCAAACATAAGAAATGAGAAGACGCTTTTTCTTATAAAATATATGAGATACATATTTTTACAGCTTTTTCTATTTAAAATACCACCCGATGCAAGCGCGATGATTTAAAAGATCATACATCATTTACGAAATTTGAGGCACCTGCCAAATAATGAACTAACTGTTTTGCCAAGTGTTCGAGTTAACAAGCTCATTAACGCTATTTGATAGAACAATATGAAGCGAAGAGTGAGCGCGTAATTAGCACTGAGATCAGTTTTCAGATGAAAGTTATGGCATACTCGCGCTTGACATAACTCAATATTTTTATCAGCGATCAGTTGATCACCGCTCGCTTGAGCTTACGTAAAACGTCATAAATTACGGAAGTTTCATTTTTTTATCACGCCAATTATTGTTCATATCGATGGCCTTTAAACCTCGAATAATATACCACAATTTACAAGCCATTGGTTCCACTCGTGTTAACGATGTTGTTTAAATCTCCCTCCATTAGCATACCATTTGTCTCATTTAATTATTTTTAGTGTTGATCGTCTGATAGTTTTGAAATAATTAAACTCCCCCCAGTCGACGTAACACAGTATCTGATCAATTAAAGTAGATGTAAGATAATATTTATCAACAGGAAAAAAAATAATTTTGTTTCTTAATTATGCAGATATGCCAATAATATCTAATATGGATAATTTAAAAAATATGCAAATATAAATAAATTTTTTTTTACATATGAGGGTCAATTTTTTTTTTGTGCGTTTCTCTTTCCTTGTCAAAATCGAATATTTGTATTACGTTGCATCATTATTATGTCTTGTTCAAATTTAAAACTAAAGAGAAAAATATATAAATTATTTTTAGGCAGTGAACGGTTTTTAAGATAAAATATGCAACTTTTTGTAATTTTCATCCATATGACTGATACATATAGTTACCTCAAGGTACATTTAGGTATTTTTTATGCTCATCTCTAGTATCTCTTCATGAACTAGCATCTCTTTATTCGCCATAATGTAGACTGTAGACGATGTCGGCGAATTATGCCCTCTCGTCCCTTCGCGTAAAAAGATCTATTTTCAGGAAAGAATATACGATTCTCTCTGATATAAGCGGCTTTAGAAAGTAAGTATTTTTTGCCGCGCGCGTCTTGTTGACGACTGTCGTTGCTCGGTTTCTATGTTGCTCGATTCTACCCGACAAAGAGCGATTCCTTTGTTCTCCTCATCGTGAAGTCCGCGAAGGAGCGCATAAGATCTCCGTTACACAGCCGACGGTTTTATTAATGGCCACACCTCAACATGGATACCAGCTGCCATGTGAGCCGCAAGGCGATCATTAGCCACGAGCTCGGTTCGTGTAAGGACAATAATAGAGATAGCGACCATAAATAACTGTAACGTGTCCATCTATCAATACAGCGTCAGATTGAGGCAAGTTACGTTTCACGAGAATTTCCATATGAAATTATCGGGCTAAAACGTGGATCGATTAAGACTGGACTAAACTCACCGAATGGCATCGGACAGTTCTTCTATTATTTAAGATTATCATTGTATTTGTTGACAAAAAAAAATAGTTTACTGTGATAGTTTCATTAATACATCAATAGATAATGAAAGAAACTTATTATTTCTTGATAATTTAATTAATAATTTGATTATGTTGAAAGTTTGATTGTCAAGGAAAATACGATAAGATATAATTATATAATATACAGATACGATATTTGCGTTTTTTTCGCTGACAGAGATATAATGTCGTTTAATAATACTTCATGTACTTATAATTCTATTTTGTTCTTAATAGCCACATTATATATTTTATAATTCTCTTTCTCATCATCAAAAATGTTTAAATAGTCTTTATTTTATTAATCGATATATCTCTTCGGTAAATAGGTCTCGAAAACAAGTTTAAAAAAAATTTAAGTATTAAAGTAGCGTGACTGCTACGAAATCTTTAATCATCGTTATATATCATATGTCATTCGATTACAAATAACAATTCGCAAGACTAACTGGCTACGGGTCATCAGCTGTTCAGAAGCAGGTTATTACAAACGCTCCTATTCGAAGATCGTCGGCCCGTCACTCGTTATATACAATGAGACGAAGAGGCAAATCACCGAAATGCACAAGCCGCTTTTAATTCCCCTCGTTAGAACACGGCAAAGCCGCGAGCGAATTCACAAAGTTCTCTCTCTCTCTCTCTGTCTCTCATGTCAGAGAAAGAAAGAGAGAGAGAGAGAAAAAACATCTACGGCAAGACCAATCGCCGCTCTGGGACGTGAGGGATTGATTAGTTTTTCTGTCTCGCAAGTCCTTCGTTCTCCCTTCTCTCCCCCTCCCTCCCCCTCCCTTCCTCCCCTTCTTGCTCGCAAAACGAGCGACGAGATGCAGCGGGTCCAGAGCGGCACGACGAGCGGCGCGGCGATCATTATTCCTCGAGAGCGCGATTTGTAAACGGGTTCTATTTATGGCACTGCAAACTCTATAATCAGCCGCCGCAGGGGCGACGACTTATTTAGAATAATTAATGCAGGTACGACCTCACGAACCGGTCTGCGGCCAATCGGTGCTACGAGCGCCCTACCATCCGCGCAGCGGAGGGGAAGTG